ATTTATTGTCCTTGAAACGCCAATAAATACACAAACAGTTATTGATTTATGATAATAAAATGAAATGTGTTGACCATCAAAACTACTGCAGGTATACAATGACAATAGAGGCTTATTATTACAACTAAAGACATCCGAAACATGCGTTTAAGCAGTTGTTATTTATTATTGCATGTGATGTTTGATTTCCGAATTCTTTCTTAAAACCCCTCTCTCATTTCCACATTGCTAATTAAGTCATTAAGCGCAATCAAAAATGAAACAAAGACCGTTGTAGGACATGTTTAATCAATCATCTCAAGACAAAACAGAGAGGAGAGTAACCTGAACTGTAGCACTCGGACTAACACAGAATTCGGTGTCGATATATTTGCATTGGTTTTAAAGTGTGCCTTTTTTTCTTTATGATTAGCTAATTAGCCAATGAGTTTATCTTTCCAACACTCACCCTGAAATGAATTTAGAAACTGAAAAGAAACACTCAATGGCCAATCCAGGACTGATCTAATTCACATTGTCCGGCATGAGCTGAAAAGTTCCTCTGCAGGATTCCCATATAATTACATGTAAACAAGGCGTCGTGGTTACAGAACTTTCATTTAAAACCAACTTCCAATAAAATCTGTTTCATGCTTCTTGTGGTCGGCAAATAGTTCCATCCGGAGAAACCTGTGCAACTTCAAAAACATTGTTGATATAGAAACACAAAAGTTTCATAACTGTTAGTGTTTGTCAGTATGTCTGAAATGACTAGGTTAGCTGCGTTATCTAGCTAGCTAGCTCACAGCAGATCTGCAGTCACATCAGAAGGAGTCATGTGACCACTTTGTTCAAATAAGACAATCAAACATTTTAGGGAAGTTTCCAACAACAGATACAGTTGTTCAGCTTTATCACCCTGAACGTCACCAAGGTCCCAGCTGTGTGCGTCACTCTTTAGTGTCCCCTGGTCTCCCAGCTGTGTGCATCACTCTTTAGTGTCCCCTGGTCTCCCAGCTGTGTGCGTCACTCTTTAGTGTCCCCTGGTCTCCAGCTGTGTGCCTCACTCTTTAGTGTCCCCTGGTCTCCAGCTGTGTGCGTCACTCTTTAGTGTCCCCTGGTCTCCAGCTGTGTGCATCACTCTTTAGTGTCCCCTGGTCTCCAGCTGTGTGCCTCACTCTTTAGTGTCCCCTGGTCTCCCAGCTGTGTGCGTCACTCTTTAGTGTCCCCTGGTCTCCAGCTGTGTGCCTCACTCTTTAGTGTCCCCTGGTCTCCAGCTGTGTGCCTCACTCTTTAGTGTCCCCTGGTCTCCAGCTGTGTGCGTCACTCTTTAGTGTCCCCTGGTCTCCAGCTGTGTGCCTCACTCTTTAGTGTCCCCTGGTCTCCCAGCTGTGTGCGTCACTCTTTAGTGTCCCCTGGTCTCCAGCTGTGTGCCTCACTCTTTAGTGTCCCCTGGTCTCCAGCTGTGTGCCTCACTCTTTAGTGTCCCCTGGTCTCCAGCTGTGTGCGTCACTCTTTAGTGTCCCCTGGTCTCCAGCTGTGTGCGTCACTCTTTAGTGTCCCCTGGTCTCCAGCTGTGTGCGTCACTCTTTAGTGTCCCCTGGTCTCCCAGCTGTGTGGCGTCCCTCTTTAGTGTCCCCTGGTCTCCAGCTGTGTGCCTCACTCTTTAGTGTCCCCTGGTCTCCAGCTGTGTGCGTCACTCTTTAGTGTCCCCTGGTCTCCCAGCTGTGTGCGTCACTCTTTAGTGTCCCCTGGTCTCCAGCTGTGTGCGTCACTCTTTAGTGTCCCCTGGTCTCCAGCTGTGTGCGTCACTCTTTAGTGTCCCCTGGTCTCCAGCTGTGTGCGTCACTCTTTAGTGTCCCCTGGTCTCCCAGCTGTGTGCGTCACTCTTTAGTGTCCCCTGGTCTCCAGCTGTGTGCGTCACTCTTTAGTGTCCCCTGGTCTCCCAGCTGTGTGCGTTACTCTTTAGTGTCCCCTGGTCTCCTGCTGTGTACGTCACTCTTTAGTGTCCCCTGGTCTCCCAGCTGTGTGCGTCACTCTTTAGTGTCCCCTGGTCTCCAGCTGTGTGCCTCACTCTTTAGTGTCCCCTGGTCTGCAGCTGTGTGCGTTACTCTTTAGTGTCCCCTGGTCTCCAGCTGTGTGCGTCACTCTTTAGTGTCCCCTGGTCTCCAGCTGTGTGCGTCACTCTTTAGTGTCCCCTGGTCTCCAGCTGTGTGCGTCACTCTTTAGTGTCCCCTGGTCTCCCAGCTGTGTGCGTCACTCTTTAGTGTCCCCTGGTCTCCAGCTGTGTGCCTCACTCTTTAGTGTCCCCTGGTCTCCAGCTGTGTGCGTCACTCTTTAGTGTCCCCTGGTCTCCCAGCTGTGTGCGTCACTCTTTAGTGTCCCCTGGTCTCCAGCTGTGTGCGTCACTCTTTAGTGTCCCCTGGTCTCCCAGCTGTGTGCCTCACTCTTTAGTGTCCCCTGGTCTCCCAGCTGTGTGCGTTACTCTTTAGTGTCCCCTGGTCTCCCAGCTGTGTGCGTTACTCTTTAGTGTCCCCTGGTCTCCCAGCTGTGTGCGTTACTCTTTAGTGTCCCCTGGTCTCCAGCTGTGTGCGTCACTCTTTAGTGTCCCCTGGTCTCCCAGTTGTGTGCATCACTCTTTAGTGTCCCCTGGTCTCCCAGCTGTGTGCCTCACTCTTTAGTGTCCCCTGGTCTCCCAGCTGTGTGCCTCACTCTTTAGTATCCCCTGGTCTCCCAGCTGTGTGCGTCACTCTTTAGTGTCCCCTGGTCTCCAGCTGTGTGCGTCACTCTTTAGTGTCCCCTGGTCTCCAGCTGTGTGCGTCACTCTTTAGTGTCCCCTGGTCTCCCAGCTGTGTGTGTCACTCTTTAGTGTCCCCTGGTCTCCAGCTGTGTGCGTCACTCTTTAGTGTCCCCTGGTCTCCCAGCTGTGTGCCTCACTCTTTAGTGTCCCCTGGTCTCCCAGCTGTGTGCGTTACTCTTTAGTGTCCCCTGGTCTCCTGCTGTGTACGTCACTCTTTAGTGTCCCCTGGTCTCCCAGCTGTGTGCGTCACTCTTTAGTGTCCCCTGGTCTCCCAGCTGTGTGCGTCACTCTTTAGTGTCCCCTGGTCTCCAGCTGTGTGCGTTACTCTTTAGTGTCCCCTGGTCTCCAGCTGTGTGCGTTACTCTTTAGTGTCCCCTGGTCTCCAGCTGTGTGCGTCACTCTTTAGTGTCCCCTGGTCTCCCAGTTGTGTGCATCACTCTTTAGTGTCCCCTGGTCTCCCAGCTGTGTGCCTCACTCTTTAGTGTCCCCTGGTCTCCCAGCTGTGTGCATCACTCTTTAGTGTCCCCTGGTCTCCAGCTGTGTGTGTCACTCTTTAGTGTCCCCTGGTCTCCAGCTGTGTGCCTCACTCTTTAGTGTCCCCTGGTCTCCAGCTGTGTGCGTCACTCTTTAGTGTCCCCTGGTCTCCCAGCTGTGTGCGTCACTCTTTAGTGTCCCCTGGTCTCCAGCTGTGTGCGTCACTCTTTAGTGTCCCCTGGTCTCCAGCTGTGTGCGTCACTCTTTAGTGTCCCCTGGTCTCCCAGCTGTGTGCGTCACTCTTTAGTGTCCCCTGGTCTCCCAGCTGTGTGCGTCACTCTTTAGTGTCCCCTGGTCTCCAGCTGTGTGCGTCACTCTTTAGTGTCCCCTGGTCTCCAGCTGTGTGCGTCACTCTTTACTGTCCCCTGGTCTCCAGCTGTGTGCGTCACTCTTTAGTGTCCCCTGGTCTCCAGCTGTGTGCGTCACTCTTTAGTGTCCCCTGGTCTCCCAGCTGTGTGCGTCACTCTTTAGTGTCCCCTGGTCTCCCAGCTGTGTGCGTCACTCTTTAGTGTCCCCTGGTCTCCAGCTGTGTGCGTCACTCTTTAGTGTCCCCTGGTCTCCAGCTGTGTGCGTCACTCTTTAGTGTCCCCTGGTCTCCAGCTGTGTGCGTCACTCTTTAGTGTCCCCTGGTCTCCAGCTGTGTACAGGAACATTTGTGTTTTTTTATTTACAATCTTTTTGAACTGCAGCGTGTTTCTCCTGATGCAAGTGTTTTGGGCCGATGTAGCGCAGTTGCACGGGTCGGCTACTGTACTAATTGCGTTCCAAACCAGTCAGTAACTTTGACTAATATCGTTATATTTTCAGACTTCTCGGCCAAGATTTCCTCAACATCTCGAAGTTTGAACCGGCGTTTTCGCAATTTGTGATCCTGTAGCTAGTAAAATCATTGTTCGACCATCTACACATTGTTATAAAATATTGGCGGAACACGTCAAGACCATTCTAACCACAGGAAGCATGAAAAAGGCTAACAGATACCAGAACGCAGACGAACCCAAACCACAGGATTCACAAACCTGTTTCAAACCCTCCTGAAGCCCATCGGACCGAAAACACACCAACCAGTCCGTCGGTCGGGATCCCAGTGCCATAAAAACGCTTTTTTTAAAGGATTTGAAAAGATGGTTTGATCCACTTTTGTCTGGTAATGCAATGTTGTTCCTGAGATGATAAACAGATTGCTGAAAACTTCATAACAAAAGTTGGATGGATGTCTGATGAAGAAAAAAAACAACATTACAGAACAGGAGAGGTAATCTTTTTGAAAACACATCGACAGGTCATGAGTACTACAAGCTGCGGGACACCCTTGATGAATCAGACATGGACAAAAGCTCAACCTATTTCAAATATATCTTCTTAAAGTTGTTCTTGAGCCTTAATAATAGTCAATACGTTATATATGAGGCCAATAGGGCCTTGAAACTCTCAAAATGTTAAATTTCCATCTGAGTTTGTCCACCTCTGACCTCTCACGGGACATCCATAAGCACACAGACTGTGCAGTATTGTCAGATACATTTCTACATGAATTACCATTAAATATTAAATATAACTTCATTCCAACACATTTGTATACCCAAATTTCAATAATATGTTTTGTTTAATACGACAATTCTCATTAAAATGTCAAAATCAAAGTGGCTCCTTGCATTCTTTTAAAAAATAATATGATATCAACCCATTTCATTCTCACTTTTTTATATCTTTCTTTTGCCTAAATCACCTGGAGTGATGGCATCATTGTTCGCAGATGCTTTTTACATTTACTTAGTTTGAACCTTTCTGGAACGTTAGATTGGTGGGCTTCTTTTAGACGGCATTTCTCAGGATAAAGGTTGTTTAGACATGTTTTTGGAAAGGCATCAAAAGTCCAGCACACAGTCGTGGTGTTCACGTTGAAGGAGGTAAAGGTCAGAACAGGCTGGAGGCAATAACATGATACATATTGGAAATGTAACACAGCAAGGTGCATTCCCACCGACCGTGGATCACCATTACTTAAGAATGACATTTGTAATAATCCATTACCATCTCAATAGTCTGCCTGTCATATTCGATCAGCACCTGGAAGACAAGCTAGGCTGTAGTGTTAATCTGCAACTTTATACAGAAGTCTGTCACTAGCTAAACCATTAGCACTGTTGGCTGTGTTTATGATACATGTAGAGGTTGTGCTTTTCAGTTAAAGCTTTCTGAAATGCAGCTGAAAAGGTCCATTGTTGGCTAGAGAAGTCTAATGAATCTTGATGCATTCAGTACATCCCAGTCCCTAAAGTATATGTCAAACATGTGGCAGAGAATGCTTCCTAGGAGTGTAAAAGTGTCTGATCTAAGGTACAACTCCAAGAAAAAGGTTTTAGCCACCCTGAATCTGTAAAGGGCCAACAGGTCTGTGACAAACTAGGCGTTCCTTGGGCTATTGTCCGACGATAGTCCCAGGGTTTGGTAGTGAAAGGTAAACCAGAAGTCTTTCTATCCCATCCCCCAAGGATTCCCAGAGTATCTCGTCCAAACCTCCCCTCGGACACAGCCAGACCCACTGACACCTAAAGCATGACATATTTCAGACTTGCCATCTACGACGCTGTTGCACATTCTCAGATTTCTTGGTTGCAACTCACTGACGATGGACCACAGATGAGGTTTTGCTCTTACGTCAGTTTCCTGTTTGACAAAAGGTCCGCCAGTAGCTAACCAAGAGCGCGATTACAAACTGGCAGAATGAGTGTGGTGTATGTTCAACCTTTGTCATTTTAACGGTGAGTTGGTTGTCAACATTGGTTGTTGAGATAACCAAGCCGTCGGCAGAGTATCTCGAATATCTCGGCGACACAGAGAAGGATGGTGATCACGGTGAAGGTGTACATGGCACTGAGGAAGATGGTCTTCTCAAAGTGTTCGGGCACCATGCACTTAGTCACATTAAAGGTCCTTTCCAGGGGAGCGGCATCACACATGAACAGCGGGTGCACCTGAGGAAAGAAAGAGAAACAGGACTTGGTCAAACTTTCAAGTGTTGTGCGTCGTCAACTGTGTTAAATGTTTGTCAAGTTTCCGTTTTATTCACGTTCATGTTTTATGTTTAGTTTCGTTCTGGGGTTTTATTTTGATAGTCTGTCCTCCCTGGTGATTGTTGGTCACGTCATTATTGTCTCCACCTGGTGATGTCAGTATATGTATGTCCAGTCCTTCCCTGTCTCCAGACTGTCTTGTGTTTCATGCCGAGCTCTCCAGCGTTTCGTAAATCATCGTCCAGTTATAGTTAAAGTCATAGTCGATGTTCATAGCAATAGAACAGTAAGATCAGGTAGTAGTTATTAAGTATTGTTCTAGTTATTGATAGGTACGCTTCAGTGTAGATATTTATTGTATGTATTTTCTGGATCTTGTATCAACAACTCAAGTAAAGACTCTTTTGTGCTTCCATCCTGTGTCTGCATCCGTGCTTTTGGGTCCACACTTTGTACGTCCATGACATAAAGTCTCCCTGATTGATAAAGATGACACTGTGCATTACTCCTGCGTTATATTGTCATTCTTCTGATTGAATGATACTGTAACTTGATCCTAAAGGCCCGACACACCAGGCCGAAATGGACCGTTTTCGTTAGTCGGACGACGAAGCGTGCGCTGTCGCCCAAACTCAATTTGGTGTGTCCCGCACCGTCGGCCGTGACACGCCTTATTTGGCCTTTCATGGCCGACGCACAGGCAGTCGGACAAAGAAAGCACTCTGATTGGCTGTTCAGCTAGTGAATCAGTGCATGAGAAGCAAACGGTTGCTTGAGAATGTCTTCCACAAGCAACACTCCAATGGCTGATAGCTCCAGTGCCGCACGAAACATGTTTTCGATGGACGAGAGTGAAAATGGAACGCACACGCTATTTGTTGTTTGTTTATATCACGCAGTCTGTTCTTCTTCTCTGTCTTCTGGTTGTTGCCTCTTTTGAATGACGAATACACACTACCGCCGCCTGCTGGTAAGGAGAGTTATTGCCACTCACACATGCGCAGTTCGTACGTGCTCGGCTGAAGACTTTGCGGTGTGTTCCAGTGCGACACATGGCCAAGACGCAGGAGAACACGGCGACGCAACAGTCGGCGTCGGCATCGGCGAGTTCTCTGGTGACTGCTTGGTGTGTCAGGGCCTTTACACATACTTAGCTTAGCCTAGCATACACAGGGAAGGACCAGCTCTATTGTGTTGGAATATGGGTTGCGGGTAATCCAGGAAAATCATCATGTCCCAGGAACAATCTTGAAATACTAAGAGCTTTTGTGAGCTGTGGCAAGGCAAGTTTATTTATATAGCACCTTTTTAAGAAAATGGCATTTAAAAACAGTGATTAAAAAGCAAAGATAATAAAATAAACATTCAAAAATACATGGATAAAAGTTACAGTGCAGTGTAAGATATGAATAGTTCAATTAAAAGCAGTAGCAAAAAGAAAAGTCTTGAGCCTGGATTTAAAAGTAGTCAGAGTTGCAGCGGACCTGCAGGTTTCTGGGAGTTTGTTCCAGATGTTTGGAGCATGATAACATCCATCCAATAACCACGTTAAGGTCATGCTGTGGCATCTTCCTCTTGTTCATTGCTGATACAAGCAGACTCCAATGGTCCTCCACTGCCGACTAACTTGATTGGACCTTACCCAACCATTTATTTCTCTTTCTCACTGCATTGGTGCCATTATTGGAAGTTTGGCGCCATGAGGCCAAGACTCACTACTTCCTTACTTTCTCCAAAGGGCCCTTCAGAGTTCAGTATTTTGAGGATCTTGATGATGTGAATTAGCTAGAAAGCCATTGCATGAAGAGATGCGTTTTGAGCCTCTTCTAAGGGTGTCGTCGAGATTTCTTATGAGGTGTTCCAGGAATAAGCTAGAAGGAAACTAATGGCTTCATAAGGAGACCATTGGTACCTGTGAACAACATTGTGTGATCAAATGTATTAACATTGCTACTGTAATGTTTCTCCTATTGGGTGGTATCCTATGAGTGGCATAATGCCTTTCATCTGTTTGGAAGGGGTTTTATGACACTACAGGAAGAGAGGATGAATGGAAGCAATTTGCTCTGGGGGGGGGGTAGCTGCGACACCCAACTGTTCTTTGTGGGGAGTGAGTTTGGCTTATTGTGATCCACCTGGACCACATGTTGTTGTCATGTAAATGCTTTTGATGTTTCTCTATAAGAGAGTCTGTCACACTCAGAAGGAGTCTTCATGCTTGTAAGCATTCAAAGAAAAGCCTCTAGCCTCTACTAAGGGGGTCATCGAGTCCCATGTCTTAAGAGGTGTTCCAGGAATAAGCTGGAAGGAAACTAATGGCTTCAGAAGAAGAGCATTGGTACCCAACAAAAGAACCTCCGGGAATTTCCTAATGAAAATGTTTTCGAGGGTATCTACTCACCATTTGGTCTCCATGACGGTAAGACATAATAATGTGACATAGAGGTGTTCCAGGAATAAACTAGAAGAAAAACAACTCATGGCTTCAGAAGAAGGTCATTGGTAACCAACAAAAGAAGCTAAGCCAATTAAAAAGGCTTTAGAGGGTATCTGCAAACTATTTGGTCTCCATGACGGTAACACTCAATACTTGTGACATTTACAGAAATCCACTGAGTTCATCACGTTCTGAAATCCTCAGACATTTACAGACCTCGAAGCCGAAGAGGTGGCTCTGAAGCCAGAAGGCGATGACTTCCAGAATGATGCGTAGGAGAACGGAGATGATGTAGAAGACGGTGTAGACGGGGCGTTCGAGGATCTCTTCCTGGACGATGTTCTTACAGGCGGCGTAGAGGTGAAACACCGCCCCAGGAACCAGCACTGTCACCAGCTGTAATGCCCAAAAGACCTGGAGAGGGCACGAAGAAGGGGAGGTGGGGGTGAGAAAAGACAATGGAGGAGGCAATGGAAAACAGAACTAGTGCTGCAGGAAGATGGCACCGGTGATGATGGCTGCCGTGTCTTTGGCTCCTCTCCAACTCCGCCTTTTTTTCCTTTTATTTCAGTGTTTGTTTATTTGTATTTTATTATACATGTTGCTTTGTTGGAGGAGCTCAGGTCAGAATAATTGCATTGCCATTTCTACACTGTAGCTTAAGTGCATATGACAATAAACCCTTTGAATCTTGAGCTGTAACAATCTTTAAAAAGTGGAAACAGGCACCAACACTTCCATTTATTATAAAATCGCCCAACATTTCCAAAATTGCGACCATTTTCCATCATTGCAAGCCAGGGCAACCGTTTTATACCACATCATTAAACCACTGGATCAATTTAGATCATTCTAGTATTGGATGATATGGTATTGACTATGAGGAAAGTCCATTTCACTATTTAAAAAACTTCTTCACAGCTTTTTCGGGTCATTTTAAACACAAAATGTTAAAATGTGGGGCTTAGAGGCCCAGTTCTCCATTGAGCCAGATTATTTCCATTGTATGTCTCAGACATGGTAAAAATAAGCTTCTGAGTAATTCCCCATGTCTGAATTGGGTATCTACGTGTTCAGAAATGTATGATTAGGCATCAAGGTCCGTCATACAGGGCAGGTGAAAGAGACTTTATGGCATGAATGACATTTCCAAACCATCGTTGGTGACCATTGTAAATTGCCGCTATCTTGGATTTTGGATTGGTTAACGGGCTTTTTGAAAAGAGCAACCTGAAAGGAGCTTATGTGCCAAGTGTAGTACTTGTATCCAAGATTTCCCCAGTGGCGTTTTCTCCCGGAGGCCAAGGGAAGCCAGGCTTCCCCTGTTTTTTTGGATTGTAGTTATAATTTTAATAAATAAAAACACTTTGTTTAGTTTCGGAAATTCTTTGTTGTGTGTTGCTGCCGGCCCGTCTCTCCCCCATTCTCATTGAGTATTTTACAAAGAGTGAAACAACACCCCTCTAGATGTTATGGTGAAACAGTAGATGGCACTCTCTGTTGCGAGAGGAGGCCAGTCGAAATTGGCTTCCCTTGGTGAAAAAAAATGGAGGGATTGACCAATCAGATGAGGCTCACGTGATGCCCCTGCCAACCTGTGATTGGTCAGGGCCATGCCAAGGGAAGCCAGAGGCGGCTGGCTTCCCTTGCCTCACAATCCAATCAACTCGTATCTACTTAGTGTTGCAGTGACGCGTCCGAAAACCCGGAAGTAAGCTGCGCTCGGTTTCCCTCGACAGAAAGCAATGGGATTTCTCCATAGGATTTAGGAAAATAGCTTGAAATAAGGTCAGTGGAAAACGAACCTGTTAGATAAATGCACGTTGTGTTCAGTCGGAAAATATCGACTTTCATAATTTTCAAATCATAAATCGAATCGATAGAAGATAGATAGCGTCACTGCACCACTCTCACCGCCGTTAGAAAGTAGCAAGCAACTGAAGCAAGTGCAATTATGGAGGGTGGAGATTTGGAGTATTTCATCAAAAGTAATTGTACTAAACTTCCGCTACAGCAACAACAACAAATACAATCTGATGACAGGCCGATGCCCAAACTGGAGCTGTGTACAGCGAGGAACAAAGGAGCGAATCGGACGTAAAACGTTAAAGGTCTCCTGATTTAGTTTGTGAATGAAGGCTTATTAGAGTTTCGGCTGGAGAGTGCGTGCGGACCTGTCGGTTAGATAACAGGCGTGTGTAAGTCCTGCATCTGTATGATACAAATGTGTGTAAAATGATACCGGGTGCTGTAATCACTCATCTGGTTACGTTATTACATTGACCACCACCACACCCCCGACCCAAAAGAAAGGACGTATTATTGGCTTCCCCTAATTTTTTTCCCACGCCATGCTACTGGATTTCGTTGGTATATTCAATCTACAAGCACTGGAGGAACCCGGAAAGATATAAAAGTACAATGGGAGCCAGAGACTTTTCTTATCAAGCTCCACATTTGTGGAATCAGCTTCCAGTTTGTGTTCGGGCGGCAGACACCCTATCCGTTTTTAAGAGTGCGCTTAAGACCTTCCTTTTTGATAAAGCTTATAGTTAGGGCTGATTAGATTCAGCCCCTAGTTTTGCTGATATAGGCTTAGTTTGTCGGGGGACATCTTACTTCTTCCTTCTCTCTGTCTATACCTGTGTACTCTCATGTTCCCATTAACCCAGCTTCCCCAAATGTCTTTCTTTTTGGTGTCTGTATACGCCGGGATCCGGAGTCATGGATGATCCTGCGCTCCTGTGTCCTGCATCGCGAGCCCTGGATCTTGAGTCGTGGCTGTGGTCCTGGATCATAGGTCCTGGATGGATATCCTCGTGGATTCATCTTCCTATTATACACACATGCATTTCCAAACATTTGGACTACCTATGTTGCAAATGTATTATCTTTTCAATTTACACACGCATCTATTGCACGTCTGTCCGTCCTGGGAGAGGGATCCCTCCTCTGTTGCTCTCCCTGAGGTTTCTCCCATGTTCCCTTTAAACTGTGGGTTTTCTCCGGAAGTTTTCCTTGTACGATGTGAGGGTCTAAGGACAGAGGGTCTAAGGACAGAGGGTCTGAGGACAGAGGGTCTAAGGACAAAGGGTCTGAGGACAGAGGGTCTAAGGACAGAGGGTCTAAGGACAGAGGGTCTAAGGACAGAGGGTCTAAGGACAGAGGGTCTAAGGACAGAAGGTCTGAGGACAGAGGGTCTAACGACAGAGGGTCTGAGGACAGAGGGTCTGAGGACAGAGGGTCTAAGGACAGAGGGTCTGAGGACAGAGGGTCTGAGGACAGAGGGTCTGAGGACAGAGGGTCTAAGGACAGAGGGTCTGAGGACAGAGGGTCTGAGGACAGAGGGTCTAAGGACAGAGGGTCTAAGGACAGAGGGTCTAAGGACAGAGGGTCTGAGGACAGAGGGTGTCGTATTGTCATACTGATATTCTGCACAAACTGTGAAGTCCACTGAGACAAATGTAACATTTGTGATATTGGGCTATAAATAAACATTGATTGATTGATTGATTGATTGATTGATTGATTGATTGATTGATTGATAAAGGAAGTATAGGCTGATGGGGCTAAAGGTTATGGATTTGGAGGGAAAGAGGTTGAGCAGGGAGAGACGGAGCATCAATAAATGAGGGAAATTCATATTTATACATTCATTTTTCATCACTAGACACTGATGAATAAAATATGGTGTTTGTGTCTTTGGAAAATTTATATTTCAGAAAGTTAACGTCCACAGAAACAACTTTTAAAAGGTAGCGTACCTTAGTTCTGTTTGCAATATGATACATACAGCTTCACTTTCCAAGTAGATGAAAATAGAGCTTTTTTAATATGTAAGAAGATCGCGGTTATTTGATCTTTAAATATGAATTCACAGTGGATTCAAGAATAATAAAATAGCAAATAATATCGCCCAGTAACTCATTTTAGAACGAGTAGAAGTGATATTACTCCAGCGGTGTTAACATGGTTCTCTTTATACGTCCATGACTGATTTATATAATAATGATTTATATAAGTAGTTATCATAGCAATAAACCGTATTGCATATTTAATTGTATGCACTGGTCCCACCTGGGGCGTGATGGGTCTGAACTGGTTGTAGCAGAACAGGTTGAGCTCTCGGCGGTCCGGGTCGCAGCTGAAGTGCAGCGCCTCGTTTCCATACACCGCGAAGCCAAGGACGCCCAGGAAGAACATCCGCACCGAGCCGAAGAACAAGGTGTGGAACTGGCCAATCACAGTGGGAGGCCGGAGCTGCAACACACACACACACACACACACACACACACACAAATGCAGAGAGACAGGTTAATACAGGGAAGTGCGCATATAGACATTATGCAATGCACCACACACTGATGTTAATGTAGCCACAGACACACACACACACACACACACACACACACACAGAGGAAGTTCCATGATGTATTGTCCCCCCCCACACACACACACATATGTATCTCAAAACACACACACATGATGCGTGTGACAAGCCTTCCAATTTTCCTGCCACAAAACATGTAACAAGCAAATGTGCATGGACACTAAGACACACACACACAGACACACACACACAGACACACACACACGTATATATGATGCATATAAACAACCATGCAGTCCAAGTTTCAAGGCACACAACATGTAACAAACAAAGGTGCATGGACACAAACAACCGTGCACACACACACACACATACCATGTATACATCACTTCAGGGGACATTACATTGACTTACATGCATTTCCTGGAGACTTATCCTAACCCTAACCATAACCAACACATGCCTAACCCTAACCCTTAACCTTACCCTAACCCTTACCCTTAACCTAATCCTAACCCTAACCAAGTCTTCACCCTACAATTAATGACTTCCCCTTATGGGGACCTCCAATTTGTCCCCATAAGGGAGGCGAGTCCCCACACGTGACTATGTAAACAGATTTAGGTCCCCACAAGTATAGTAATGCTAGGACACACACACACACACACACACAGGGGAAATAGCTTTTGTCAGCCAGATGGATGCAGGCTTTGAAGGCATAAACAAAGAAAACATGCAGAGGAAACACAGCTCTTCACACTCATCGTATTAACAGAGAAACACACTAAAGCACACAAAGTGCACGTGGAGGGAAACTCATGAATGTTTCTGTTTTTAAACCCGGAGGAGGATAAACAAGTGTCCGCGTGGAGGAGATATCTACAATAAACAGTACTGTATGTATTTCACATTCTGTTAACATGTATACAGACTCCTGCACTTCCACCTCTTACATATATATGTATGTAGCCTCGTTGGAGGAGCCTGGGACCATATCTACGCTGTAGCTGCTCTGCATGTGATGATAACACCTTTGAATCTTGAGAGTAATATAAATCTGCTTCCTGATACTCACGCATCCTTCATAGAAGTTTCTGATGTAGTTTAAAGACATGTTTTCCCTCTCGTTGAATCCTCTCGCTCATGGCCGGTTTGATGCAGTCAAACAACAGGAAGAAGGCCTCAAACTGCCCCCCCCCCTTCTCTATCTACTCTGAAAGCCATGTCAATGCATTTTTTGGGGCCTTTTATCCCACCATCCATTGATCTGCTCAGTAGAACAAGCACAACAGAGACAGAGGGCCGAACACTGGCTCGTTCCCTAATCCCTACAGAACCATGTCAGCGGAAAAAAAACACAAACTCCAGTCGCACACAATGAGAGAGAGAGGGAAACACAATGAGAGAGAGAGGAAAACCACAATGAGAGAGAGAGGGAAAACACAATGAGAGAGAGAGGGAAAACACAATGAGAGAGAGAGGGAAAACACAATGAGAGAGAGAGGGAAAACACAA